AAAAAAAAAAAAAAAAAAGCCTCTGGCTTGTGTTCTAATGTGATGAGCTGATAAATAAATATGATCATTTTAGACAGTGCAAATGGCTATGAGGATAATGAAACAGGATAACATGTTAGAGGTGACCTGGGCGTGGAAGAGGATCTATTCTAGATAGTGGGTCAGAGAAGGCTTTCTAAATGGAACGTCTGATCTGAGACTTGAATAATGTGAAGGAGCCAACCACGTGAAGATCTGGGAGAGTACATTCCAGGCAGAGCCAGCAGCAAGTGAAGCAGTTCAGGAAGCAGAAACAAGCATGACAGCTTCAACCTATCACAGAAAGACCAATGTAGCTGGGACTTAGAGAAACAGGGAGTATGTGGTACAAGATCAGGTTGGGGACATAGGTGAGGCCAGCTCAAATGGAGCCCAACAGGCCACAGAAAGGACTTTGGGCTTTAATTGAAATGGGAATTTATTGGAGGGTTTGGAACAAGGCAGTGAAATAATGTTTTGTTTGGATTAATATTATAAATTAATATAATCTGATTTATTTTTATATCTAGAAGAAGGGCAACCTATCCTAGTGGTAAAAACTTCAGTTCTTTTCAGCGTGTTACTTCACCTGTCTCTGCTTCAGTTTCCCCATCAGTGAAATAAGTATAATGATAGTACCTACCGCCTAAGATTGGCACAAGGATTAAAATAATAACATAAATCAGTAAAAGCTGGGTGTGGTGGCTCATGCCTATAATCCCAGCAATTTGGTAGGCTGAGGCAGGTGGGTCACTTGAGGCTAGCAGTTCAGGACTAGCCTGGGGCAATACAGCAAGATCTCATCTCTACAAAATATTTTTTTTAATTAGCCAGATATGGTGGTACACACCTATAGTCCCAACTACTTGGGATGCTGAGGCAAGAAGATCCCTTGATCTCAGGAGGTCAAAGCTACCATGAGCTATGATTGTGCCACTGAACTCCAGCCTGGGTGACAGAACAAGACCCTGTCTCCAAAACAATTAGCAGACCATAGTTAATGCTATGTAATATTAGTTTGATAAGTAACTAGTTACTTAAATAGTAGTTAATTCGGGGAAGTGGGATTATGAAAGTAGAATGTGTGGAAACTTTGCTTTTGCCTTACATCCTTCTCACTGGACTTTTTGAAAAATATATTGAGGCATGCATTACTTTTATAATGTAAAACAATTAGTTTAAGGAAAAAATCTTGAGTATGATTTCAAGTTTTCAGTTCAAAAATAAAATCACACCTCAATTTCAATGTTTGAAGCTTATTTTGTTTTGTTTTGTTTAGAGGAGGAAGACCCTAAAAATATAGTGGTATATTTTTTAGAGTTTTCTACTCAGTATAATACATAACTTGCCATTCTTTTTTAAAGATGTATTTAGGGATTTGGGATAATCTGCCAGGTGTTGTGAAATGTCAAATGGAACAAGCGCTTCATCTTGATTTTGGAACTGAATTGGAACCAAGAAAAGAAATAGTGCTATTTGATAAGCCAACTAGAGGAACTACTGTACAAAAATTCAAAGAAATGGTCTATAGTCTCTTTAAGGTAAGTATATCCATTCACATGTTGCTAGTGTGAAGTGGGACTCTTCAGAGGAATTGGCAGGACCTCATCCTAAGCCATTTAAGTGTTGATATTCTTTGACCTCTATCAAGTACTCCATCCTGAGGAAATAATTAAAAGAAGCCGGGCACAGTGGCTCATGCCTGTTATCCCAGCACTTTGGGAGAACAAGGCAGGAGGATTGCTTGAGCCCAGGAGTTCAAGACCAGCCTGGGCAACATAGTAAGACCTCAGCTATTAAAAAAAAAAAAAAAGCCAGGAGTGATGGCATGTGCCTGTAGTCCTAACTACTTGAGACTGAGGTTTGAGGATTGCTTGAGCCTGGGAGGTTGAGGTTACAGTTAGCCACGATCTCACCACCGCACTCCAGCCTGGGCGACAAAGCGAGACCTTATTTCCGAAAGAAAAATCTGTGTTGGAGAATGTTTACTTTAACATTATTTATGATAGCGGAAAATGTCCAGATATGAGGAGAGAGTTCATTAATTAGTTTGAGTGCTGTACAGTTTGACATGAAAACTAATACAAAAAAGGTGAAATGAAATTAGTATACTCTTAGAAGCGTGGTTATTAGAGGCTGGGAAGGGTATGGAGGAGAGGAGGGTAAGAAGTTGGATAACAGATACAAAATTACAGCTAGATAGGCAATAAGTTCTAGTGTTCTATAGCACTGTAGAGTAAAGGGATTAACAATTTTTGTATATTTTCAAAAAACTAGAAGAGAGGATTGTGAATGTTCACAATACAATGATAAATGTTTGTATAATATGCTAATTACCTTGATTTGATAAACACATTGTATGTGTGTATTGTAATATCACTCTGTATCTCATGCAGTGTGCCCCCATTCACAATACAGACGAGGCACAGGGCCTGGGCTGAGGTGTACATGGGGGTTTACTCTACCTCCTCATTCTAAACAGTCAGTGTAAGAACACAGCTTGGGGTAAGCACCAGGAGGCCTGGGGATTTTTTTTTAATCTTTCTTTTCTTAAAAGACAGTTGTGTTTTTTTGTTTTTGTTTTTTTTTTAAGACAGGATCTTGCTCTGGTGCCCAAGCTAGAGTGTACAGTAGCCTGATCTTGGCCCATTGCAGCCTAAGGCTCCTGGGTTTAAGCCACCCTCCTGCCTCAGCCCCCGCAAGTAGCTGGGATCACAGTACCACCGCACCTGGCTAATTTTTTTTTTTTTTTTTTTTCAGACAGAGCCTGACTGTCACCAGGTTGGAGTGCAATGGCAGGGTGGTCTCAGCTCACTGCAACTTCCACCTCCTGGGTTCAAGCAGTTCTGCTTCAGCCTCCTGAGTAGCTCAGATTATAAGCACCCACCACAGCACCCGGCTAATTTTTGTATTTTTTGTAGAGACAGGGTTTCACTACTTTGGCCAGGCTGGTCTCGAACTCCTGACCTCGTGATCCACTGTCTTGGCCTCCCAAAGTGTTGGGATTACAGGCATGAACCACTGCACCTGACATTTTTTTTTATTTTTATTAGAAACAGGTTTCACCATGTTGCCCAGGCTGGTCTAGACCTCCTGAGCTCAAGTGATCTGCCCACCTTGGCCTCCCAAAGTATTGGAATTACAGGCGTGAGCCGCCACGCCTGGCAGTATCCCATAAATTTGTACAATTATTACATGTTAACTAAAAATAATTACGTGTCAACTAAAAAAGCATAGCAGTTCCTCCCATGCAAAAAAAGAATAATTAGTACTCTGTGAATTATTATTTTTTAGTTTAAACAAATACACATATAAAGATTAAATAGAAATAAATACAAGAAAGTTTTGTGAAAAAATTATTTTCATTGCTCTTATTTTCACTCACATTTTTTCTTTGGCCATTTTACATGTATTTCAGACTTTTATCCCAGAGAAACAGGGAAATACTTTTTAACCTCCATTATTGTAATACTACTACTTGTACAAAATAATTATTAATGTGATAAATACAAAATAGGGGAAAATACTTAGGCCAAGCATGGTGGCTCATGCTTGTAATCCTGAGCCACTTTGGGAGGCTGAGGTGGGAGGGTCACCCGAGCCCAGGAGGTTGAGACTAGCCTGGGCAACACAGTGAGACCCTTGTCTCTTAAAAAAAAAAAAAAAAAGAGAGAAAATAATTTTTAGTTGACCCTTATTCTAACTTTGATATAAGTACATTACAGTACAATTTTCCAAGTCCACATATGAAGGGGTGGTTTGCTAATGTATGAATGAGGAATAATTACTTTGTTGGTTAACTATCTAAAAGGTCAGAAGGGGATAGGGGTGTTAGAATGGCCATTTCCTAATAGACAAGTATATTAAAGTGGGTTTTACTACAATTACATAAAGCAAGGTTCTAGTCACTTAAGAAGCTTCACAAATATTTGGAGATATAATACATTAAGTTCCTTCATGGGGATTCAGGAGCAAGATTACTTCTGGTAATAGTGCCCATAAAGGAACTTAGTATGTTGCATGGGAGATATTTTTCATTCCTTCTATATAATTAGCCAAATTCTTGACAGGCAAAATTGGGTGACCAAGGAAACCTCTCTGAACTGGTTAATCTCATCTTGACGGTGGCTGATGGAGACAAAGATGGCCAGGTTTCCTTGGGAGAAGCAAAGTCAGCATGGGCACTTCTTCAACTAAATGAATTTCTTCTTATGGTGATACTTCAAGATAAAGAACATACCCCCAAATTAATGGGATTCTGTGGTGACCTCTATGTGATGGAAAGTGTTGAATATACCTCTCTTTATGGAATAAGCCTCCCTTGGGTCATTGAACTTTTTATTCCATCTGGGTTCAGAAGAAGCATGGATCAGCTGTTCACACCATCATGGCCTAGAAAGGCAAAAATAGCCATAGGACTTTTGGAATTTGTGGAAGATGTTTTTCATGGCCCCTATGGAAATTTCCTCATGTGTGATACCAGTGCCAAAAACCTAGGATATAATGATAAGTATGATTTGAAAATGGTTGATATGAGAAAAATTGTGCCAGAGACAAACCTGAAAGAACTTATTAAGGATCGTCACTGTAAGTCTGATTTGGACTGTGTCTATGGCACGGATTGTAGAACTAGCTGTGATCAGAGTACAATGAAGTGTACTTCAGAAGTGATACAACCAAATTTGGCAAAAGCTTGTCAGTTACTCAAAGACTACCTACTGCGTGGTGCTCCAAGTGAAATTCGTGAAGAATTAGAAAAGCAGCTTTATTCTTGTATTGCTCTGAAAGTCACAGCAAATCAAATGGAAATGGAACATTCTTTGATACTAAATAACTTAAAAACATTACTGTGGAAGAAAATTTCCTACACTAATGATTCTTAGTTCATTTGGACATAATTACCATTGTAAGAAACCTGCCAATTTTAAAGAACAGTTTTGACTATTAAAAAAAAAAATGGCTTGATTCGGATTCCTGCCAGTTACACAAAACTCTTGCCCCATCAGGCCTGAAAAGCCATCAGTGTGTGATTACTGAAGTAATAGCAGGAGGTGTAAGATCAACAGGTCCCCAAGATGTCATTCCTACCCTTTTAGAAGCCCCATTACATCTCCCAAGTACATTCATTGTGCAACTATTTTGACTGACGTTAAAAACCAATGCTGTGAAAAGCCTCATTCCATAAACGTTAATAGTGACTGATTTGTAGATTTACCGTAGCCAAAATACCAGTGCTGGAAACATTGTGTTTGCATTGAAGCTGCTGTTCAACAAAAGAAAATTTATAAATTTACTGACATCTAGCATGGTAAAGTTTGCACATTAACAGAAATTAAGACTGCAAAGCAGGTTAAACTTGTTCCTTTGTAAACAGATGCTGGGTTAATAGCATGGTTTATTGTATTATAGACTTAAACACAATTTTTAACCTCATTCAGACATCAGCTGTTATGTGTAGCTTCACAATGTTTCAAGTGGCTTACTTCAAATCTTATACTTGACAATATACCAATTTTAGTGACTGAAAAATGAACTTTCTTAAAGATTCAAAGGGCCCATCTTAGTATCAGACAGCTGACTGAGCCCTTCAAAACTGACATCGTAAGGCCCAATCAAAATCCACATATGCCGATTATGAGCTATGTCAAAGTGGGACTATAAGTGCAAGACTAAAACTTTCCATTTTCAAATAATAGTATATCATGTGGGCCAAAGGGCTATTTCTTAAAGAGGCATGCAAATTTATTCATCTGACCTTTTTCCCCCCATGCAAACTTGATATACAAGGTTTAATATTTGCTCCTCTTCCATGTTATTTTCACATGTATACTCACTCAGATTTGGCATGTACCTTTCAACATCTCCATAAAATTAATATCTTTTGGAGAAAAGATCCAGTATTTTCTGCTCAAAGGTTTCACCTAGGTCAAATGGATGTGTTAAAAATCTATGTGACCTTCACTGGACAGCTTTCTCTCAAAACTTTCCTTCAAAGCCATGGATTAGCACCTGTTTTGTTTGCTTTAAGTTACTTTTTCTTCCCGTTAATCATCTGGTTATAATAAATGGATGGGAGAAATATTTCCTAGTAATGGTTGGTCTGTTGCTTGCCAGATTTTTAGGGAAAGCTGTACATCATAGAACATTAGTGATAATGACTCCCTGGCAGGTAAAATAGAAGCCCAAGAATATAAAAGTGGGAACTTTGTTGGAAACAACTTTTACTAAAAAAGTTACACTTCTTTTCTTGGAGAAGAAAACCTGTCAACTCCTTTGCTTTTACAAAATACTTCAGGTATTTCCTATAAGGTTCATAAGAATAAGAGCTTAACACAGATATAATTGCTGTCCATAAGTTTATTGTCTTTATCTGAAAAATCCTGATAGAAAATTTGTTTGGTTTAGCTCTCAGCAGCCCGCTCCTGAGCTCTGAGGAAGCTTGCCTTCTTTTGAGCTACCCGATCTTTCTTCTGAGCAAGGGACATTTTGGGGCGGTTCCACCTACAAAAGATAGGAATATATCTATGTTTAAACCATAACTGAAGAGAATAGAGAATATTTCAATTAAAAATTTAATTTTAATAAAATTAACATTAATAAAATTTTAACAGAGAATATTTAAGACTTTGCAATCAGATGGAGGTTAAATAATCCAAGTTCAAATACATTTACTCATGTATGATCTTAAGCTAACTTTCCCAAGCCCCAACTTCTGTCATGTCCTACTAGTATAGGGCCAAAAGTCAAATAGAAGACATGTTAGATCCAGCAACCCCCCACTTCTAGGTATTTGCCCAAAGTTTTGAAATCAGTTTGTCCAAGAGATCAGCACTCCCATGTTCACTGCAGCACTATATATTAATAGCAACAGATAAATGGATAAAGAAAATGTGGTATATATATACATAATGGAATATTACCCAACCTTTAAAAAAGATGGAAATTCTGTCATTTGTGAGAGAAACAGAAGTGGAGAACATTGTGCTGAGTGAAATAAGCCAAGCACAAAAAAACCAAATACTTCATATTCTCACTTGTATGTAGAATCTAAAGCAATGGAACTCGTAGAAGCAGAGTGTAGAATGGTAGTTGCAAAGAGTGTGGGCTGGTGGGTGCAAAGAATGGACATATGATAGCCGAAAACATGAAAGATCAACAAAAAGCAGCTTTTTGTTAACCAATAAAAAATACAGTAACCAGTACTGAGACTGTACTAGGATAGAAAGGGCCACCTCAGTAGTGTCTGAAGCTAACACATTTCTATCACCACAATTACTTTCGCAAACCTGGTTCCCTTCGCTTCTGCCACATCATGCAGAGCTAGTGATCGAGTTTGCACAGCTACGCCACTGGATAACCACTCCCAGCCTGTTTTCTTGTAAAGACCAAAAAAAAAAAGACATACCTCTTCTTCTTAACTTCTTTCTTGGGCTTCTTTTCATAGACTGGATTCTCTCGTATAGCAGCATGAGCTTTCTTATACATCTCCTCCATCTGAAACAAAGGAAAGCAAACAGTACTTGGTTTCATTTCATATGCCCTACTATATTAAGGTAATCATGACTTATTTTGTCCTTCTAAGCCAGATTCTCAAAAGGAACTAAACTAAGTCAATCTTGGTAAACATTTTAATTTCTAAATGTAACTCACCTTTTCCTAACAAATTCCCAATTTTTGCCTTATGTAATGTGAACTATTGCTATTCATAAAACTCCATCTTATTCAAGAAAAAGTCATGCCAGGTGTGGTGGCTCATGCCTGTAATCTCAAGCACTTTGGGAGTCCAAAGTGGGAGGATGACTTGAGCACAGGAGTTTGAGAGATCAACCTTGGCAACATAGTGAGACCTGTCTCTACAAAAAATAATAATAATCAGCCAGGTGGCAATTATTAATGGTAGCATGCACCTGCAGTCCCAGCTACGTTGAGTCCAGGAGGTCAAGGCTGCAGCACAATCACAGCTCACTGCACCCCAGCCTGCGTGACAGAATGAGACCTCATCTCTACCAACAATGAAAAAAAAATTAGAAGGCTGGGTGCAGTGGCTCAAGTCTGTAATCCCAGCACTTTGGGAGGCCAAGGCAGATGGATCACAAGGTCAGGAGTTGGAGACCAGCCTAATCAACATGGTGAAACCCCATCTCTACCAAAAATACAAAAATTAGCCAGGTGTGGGGCTGTGTGCTTATAATCCCATTGGGAGGCTGAGGCAGGAGAATCGCTTGAACCCAGGAGGTAGAGGTTGTGGTGAGCCGAGAGTGCGCCATTGTATTCCAGCCTGGGCAAAAAATGAGACTCCGTCTCAAAAAAAAAAAAAAAAAAAAAAAATTTAGCAGGGCATGGTGGTGCACATCTCTAATTCCAGCTACCTTGGGAGGCTGAGGTGGGAAGATTGCTTGAGCCCAGAAGTTTGAAGTTACAATGAGCTATTGTGCCACTGCCGCCCCAGCCCGGGCAACAGAACAAGATCCTGCCTCACACACACACACACACACACAAAAGACAAAGAAAAAAAGAAAGAAAAACCTGCATATACTTCTGAGAAATTCAGCCACACTTGAGTCACTCTAAATCAAATTTTTGTCTTCAGAAACAAATACTGCACTTCTCACCTTAAATATTGGCTGGTCTAAAATCTTTCATTCAAGAACACATGCCAAAAGTATTAAGATGATGAACGTATGGGACCAAGAGTCACAATACTGACATAGCTTAACTGGGACCAAAAACTGGACACAGGCCAACAAGCAAATTCATGTGTCATCCCATACTCCCCAGAATTTTTTTTTCCATCTTTATCTCATAGGCCTTTTAAAGCAATTCCCAGCATTATGTACCAAAGACCTCTTCTGTCTTTGACTACTACCTATCCCTAGTATCTGGTGGTAATATAAGGCCTCTAGGACAAGAAAGCGGTCTGAAGTTTTCCCGAAAAGCCTCTAGAAAGCCATAAAGAGGCCTAAACTTTTCCTATAAGGCCTCTAGGACCACTAAGATGTCTGAAGTTTTCCTGAAAAGCCAACCGATCAGATATGTTACTGGGCAATTTTTCATTTGCTTGTTTTTTGAGATGGAGTCTTGCTGTTGCCCAGGCTGGAGTATAGTAGCGTGATCCCCGCTCACTGCAACCTCCGCCACCCACGTTCAAGCAATCCTGCCTCAGCCTCCCGAGTAGCTGGGATTGCGGGCGTGAGACACCACGCCCAACTAATTTTTGTATTTTTCGTAGAGACAGGGTTTCACCATGTTGGCCAGGCTGGTCTCAAACCCCTGACCTCAGGTAATCTGCCCGCCTCAGCCTCCCAAGTGCTGGGATTACAGGCATGAACCACCACACCTGGCCAGGGCAATTTTGTTCTAAAACTCACCAGGGGGAAAAAATACTGCAACTCTGAATACCTAAAAATTATAGCCCACTACAGACTATGTCACAGTAATCCAGGTCTCTAAAATTATTCATTAAATTTGCAGATGTGATTACTACATGCACTTGCATAAAGCTTATTAATACAGGAAAATAATGCAAAACTGCCCACTGCATTTGAAACCTCAACTACCTATATCCATTTTGAAAGTTAATTGTCCTACCTCTTAGCACTCTATTATAGCTGTTCACTAACAAATATTTAATAAATCCACTTGATGACTTCATATATAATCATTCCACAAATCTAAGCAACCCAGTTCCTTCCAAGACGTCATACAAGTAGACATGTAGATAATGCCATGAATTCAGGCAAAGACCACTTCCTGTTGGAGACACATCAGATGTCTGCAGACGATTTCAGCAGGCACAGAGGAGAGAGGCCACTGTAGATAGTTAATGAGCCAAGTGGAAAAATACATTAGCCAAAAAGTAGTCTAGCTGAAGGAAAGCATGTATACAGGAAGCCATTAGGAAATAAACATCTGAAAGCACAAATTGGGAGTCTAAAGTTCTGAGCAAGATAACATGACTACATCAAGATATAGATTAAGAAGTAAATTTTGCAGAACAAGTAGGATCATGATCCAAAGGTACATGACATCTTTAACAGGATGAAGTCATAAGTAACAAAGAAATATAATACAGTAAAAAATAACATGCACCTACATTACTGATTTTAAAAAAAAAAAAAAAACAAAAAACCTCTGGCCTAGGAATAGGAAGGGAAAAAAAAAACCCAACTTTTCTTTTCCTCACTTAAACTCGTTTAATCTTACACTGTGTCCAAAGCACAAAAATAACAGAAAGTGGTCATTTCCCAACTACAACTCTTGTTTTTTAAAATTTTCCTAGCCATAGCTATGCCAAAATAGAAGGTACTACACAGTAACAAAAAAGAACTTGGGTCTTTTTTGTTAAAAAAAGATGGCTCTCATCTGTAAGCCCAGCACTTTGTGACTCATTGTTGCAAACATGGCTCCCCTCATTGCTATAACACCATGTAGACTCAGTGACCAAATCTCCTTTCCTGTGTACGTATCTGAGATAATTGCAAAGTCCAGAATATAGCACATATATGCTATGAAGAGCTTTCCTCTCCCATGGTATCAACATTACTGAAGTTTATTATCTAGCACCTCCTATCAAACAAAGCAGATTACAACTATGACTACAGGAATGACATCTACAAACACAGAACAGCCAAAGCATAAAAGGTAGCCAAATCTTCAGAAGCTAAAGTCCCCCATATTTGAGCATCTAAAAGATTACTAAAAGCATGTTGACAAGTTTGGCTCAGCACTAACCTGAAACAAATCTATATAATATTACCTCCCCGAAAAACAAGTAATAAACCTATTTCTATAAATTAACCAATATGGGCATTTTTTAGGTAAATGTTTTACCATGTCTGGAGTTACGCTGTTCTTTATGTATTGAGAGAAGTTTCTTGTAAGCATCTTCATCTTCTTCCATTAAGTAGCGCATGTAATCTGCAACATTCTGGCCCATGATGTGCTTCCGGTGTACTTCTGCGTTAAATTCCTTGCTTTCAGAATCATAACCAGGGAATCGCTTGGTACTGAAATAAAGTTATTCATATTTTAGTATAGACTCATCTCATTTAGCTTACTAGTAAGAATTTACTTCAGTAGCTGCCATCAGTCCCGTCTTGAAACAATTATTGCATCATATGCAACCAAAGGACCAATTACTGACTGCTCAGTTAGTGGGATATCATCATTCAGCAGCTCATCTCTGAATTCCAGGACAGAAAACAAATTCATGCTAAAACACCTTTAAAAGCCACTACACCAAGGCTTTCTACCACTACAAAATTAGTTATCCAGCATATCAGCACAGGAAGGAGTTTCAAAACTTATCCCCTAAATCCTTTAATTTTCAGTGGGTACATGGGAATAAGTGATTTGTCCAAGATCACAGGTAATGAAATTGTCAAGTGAGAATGCTCTTGATATACTTGCCCCCACCCACCTCCACATCATAAAAGCAAAATTTCAGTTAGGTTGTTATTTTTAAGCTTACCAAAAATTACTATTTCTTGGTTGTTAAAATCACCAAATGCTAAAATATTCCTAAGAAGTTAATAAATCAAGATGCGTGGACTCAACAAAAAAAATCATTAACTCAAACCAATGGAACCACAAATTAACCTATTTAACTTCCCAAAATGGACTACAATCTTATTCCTAGTTGCAGCAGGTTTAGAAATCTTTCATAAGCCTTTTCCTCAAACTCCTTATAAAATTCTAGATCTATCTTTTTGCATAATTCAGTTAAATTTTTATTCTGAATGAAAAAAAGTACATGGGGAAAGAGGACAGAGTTGCTCGTTTCTAATAAAAATTAAGTCATATGCAAAAGGTAGTGGTTTCAATCCCATCTCTTTCACTAGCTGGCTCAAAAAACTTGGACAAATAATTGTGAGCCTCAGACTCTTAATTTATAAAATGGGCTATAATTCCTTCCTGCCTTACCAGGTTCATCCTGCATGGTACCTATCACACAGCAGGCGTTTAATGAATGCTAGCTACTTTAATTTGGTTATTTCCACAGTATAACCAGTTAAAAATAGGGAAGTACCAGAGTCTAGGCACCAAGGTCTTTAATAGTATTCTTACCTATGAGGGATAGACAAGCCTCCATCCACAGCTCCCTTCAGGGCACCAAAAACTTTATTGCCAGTGGTAGTTCTGGCAAGGCCTGCATCCAAATAGCAGGTAAAGGCACCTGGCTGATCATCAATGCTTTCCACATTGTATTCATCACCAGTCACCTCCACTTGGCCTTCATAGATCTTGTCCATGCCAAACCTATTGAGAAGCTTTTAAAGAAACCAGTGTAAATGCCCGTTTGGATTATTCAAACTGCTCTAAAATTAAAATAGTTTATGTCATAACCATAAGGACCACTGACATATGTAAAAAAAATTTTCCTTCCACACCTACCCCTTTCACCAGATCCACTTGGTCATAAATTTTTAAATGCCATTAAAAAAACTTAAGACATTCAATTTCACCTGAAACAATTTTGTCTTATGACTTCTGCATCTTTGCTACATGTTGACATTTGACTTATATAGCAATCAAAGAGAATGCATAAATTTGATTGTTATACTTACTCAAGGGGGAGTAATCTCTACATTTATCCAGTCATATTTGTTTAGAATAATTCATCAATTAAATACCTGATGTCATAACATGTAGTTTAACTTAATCTGGAATAAAATTTTAGGGGTAGAATCCTGGGCAAAAGAAACATCTTTTGTGGCTCTATTCTCCAACTACATTACGTTAGCTCACACCACTCGTCTGCTGGTACAGTCTCCTAGCTATTGTTCCACAAGTAATTAGCCTTTGCACCAAATTGTTCTCATATATCATGACAACGATCCCTCCACTCAAACATGTTTATAACCAATGATGTGGGTGGGTTGTGTCAACCTTGATGCATATGCTTAATAATTCCATTGCAAATCAAGTCAGAAACTGAGATAATAAAAATAAGGCAAAAATCTCATCTTCATCTACCAGCAAAATAAAGCATATACAGGAAACACTGCCACCCAGATGGAAAAATGTTTAAAACAAAAATGAATCTTCCCATCAATGACCACTCTCCAAAACACTAAGATTCTCAATTTTTTTTTTTTTTTTTTTTAGACAGAGTTTCACTCGTTGCCCAGGCTGGAATGCAATGGCGCAATCTCGGCTCACTGCAACCTGTCTCCTGGGTTCAAGTGATTCTTCTGTCTCAGCCTCCCCAGTAGCTGGGATTATAGGTGCCTGCCACCATACCCAGCTAATTTTTTGTATTTTTAGTAGAGACAGGGCTTCACCATGTTGGCTGGATGGTCTCAAATCCTGACCTCAAGTGATCCACCCACCTTGGCCTCCCAAAGTGCTGGGATTACAGGCATGGTACATACTATCAAAATACAGATTCCAGAGGGTCTAGAGTGGAGTTCCCACAGATCTGTGTTTTCAATGTCTGCCAACATTCAGAAGATATGTATCTGAGTAGCATTGAGTCTTCATTGTCCAATTAAGTAGTCACTAGCTACAAGTGGATTTTCAAATTCAAGTTTACATACTGCTGGAGCTCAATAGCTGCAGGTCGCTAGTGGCAAAACTAATGGACAGCAAATTACAGATCTGTGTCATTGCAGAAAATTTTTTTGTAAAGAGCTGACCTAGATAGATGCATAAACAGGGCAGAAAACTGGAAGCAGGCACTCTCCTGAAGCACAAGCGAGGCTATCTTATCCATGTGCAAACATCTTGCAGAAAATGAACTATATAAATAAAAGTCATCTTGTACATACCCTGCGGGCCAGCAGCAGGCCAGTACAATACGCTGCAGCATAATTTGTCAGGCCAACCTTCACGCCATATTTTGGCAGTTCGTGTGCATATGCTGCGCAGACTATCATATCCCCCTCTATACGGGCATAAGCAATCTACAGTAAGAGAAAAACTAGGTTAGTAATCTATTGCTTTCACTGTCTCATTATGTCTTCATTTCTCTTCAAAGGAATAAAAAAAAAATCGATGGATATAGATGTGTACCACTTAAAATGCTGAAAACTCTTAGCTGGGTTACTGATAAACTAGAGGTACTTAAAAAGTCACAGAGGAATATCCAATTATTTCAACCATCCTTTGAACTAAACATAACTAAGTTCAATGAAGTCTCAGGAACATAATATTTAGTTACCTGAACTGGACACAGAGGAAGACACTGCCTTCACAATAAACAAATTAATTTGCCCAGAAAACGTATGCCTACCCGCTATAAAATATCGATAAATCTTAACTCTCAGAATTTTTCCTAATTGTAAAAGCCAAGATTCTAGCTTACAGAGTCCAGTGAGAATGCTCTTAGTACAAGAGCAAACTGCCACCTCCTAAAGGCCTTTCATGTGGGAGCCACCTTTGTACATTTTATTAAAACCTGTTTCAGGCCAGGTGTGGTGGCTCATGCCTGTAATTCCAGCTCTTTGGGAGGCCAAGGCAGGCAAATCACCTGAAGTCAGGAGTTCAAGACCAGCCTGGCCAACATGGTGAAACCCCATCTCAAAAACAAAAAACAAAAAAAACCCTATTTCAAACAATAACCAGAATAATCTTAAAGCCCTGTTTAACTCACAACTACCTCTTCAGTGGTTGAATAGCATATAAGGTCATATAGGAAAAATCAGGACAAACCCAATTCTTCTAGTGGAATTGGGATGGGCAAGAACTTCTTACTTGCCTCTAATCTCCCCACCCCACACATACACATAAAATAGGTTTCAGTCTTTGTCGCCCTGGTTGGAGGGCAGTGGTGTGAGCTCAGTTCACTGCAGCCTCAACCTTGGGGCTCAATCATCTGACTGAGTAGCTGGGACTACAGGTGTGCCCCACCATGCCCGCTAACTTTTTTATAGTTTTTGTGAAGACAAACTCTCACTATATGGCCCAGGCTGATCTCAAAACTCCTGGCTCAAGCAATCTTACCAAAGTGTGCTGGGATTACAGGCATGAGCCACCACGCCCAACCAAATGTGTTTTTAAAGTACCAATTTCCCAGGCTCCAATTCTAGACCTACTAAAAGGAAAAGAATAATTCACTGAATGCTTTTGGAGGTGCCTGACAGCCCTTTTAACACATACACCATATGCTTTGCTTCCCAAGCACAATTTCTTGCAGTGAAAAAAGGGGAATGCTTGTGTCTAGAATACAACTTACCTGACAAATGATATCTCTGTTTGTTACACGAACTATCATCCTGTATTTGGGTGTGTTGTATTTATTTTTATCCTGTATCACCAAGCGTTTCCGAGCATAGTAATCAGTTTTACCCTCTAAAGAAAAAAAAAAATTTTAGAAAGGATAGTCTACTGCAAAGCAGATAAATATTGTAAACACAAAAAGATGACAGTACCTCGTCGTCTTCTAAATTTCACTTGGTATCTCTTAAAGTAGGCCTTATTCTTAACAACTTTAACAAACCCCTTAAAGAAAAAAAAAATGTTATTAAAACTTTGATGTCTTAGTCTGTGATACTTTTGACATGAATTAACCAGGTAACAAAATAACACTTGAACTTCCAGAGCTGAAACAGACAGTTGTCACTTGTAGAATCCCATGTTTCACAAGCGACTAGAGTCAAGATTACTTTTCCCTTATTTTCCATGTCACAGACTGATAGTTTTATAAAACACAATAAAAGTGAATCATTAGAGAAATACGGAATAAAAGAAACAAGCATACAAAACGCAGGCCCCAATTTATTACATTTAACAGGCATAAAATTGTTACATTGCTTCCAAAAGTTTTTAAACGCTTACTCTCAGTCTCTGTACTTGTTTCTTCGAGGAGCAGCACCAATAACTGTGTCAAACTTTTGCGAAGCACTGCTCTAGACAACAGCCAGTGGTACCAAATGTCAGTCTGTTCGGAACATGCTCTGTCTCACTTCGAAAACCTAGCCTCACATTACTACATACTTCTCTCGCGTCCCACGTATGCTTTTCAAAAGCCTAAATTACCTGCCACAAAGCTTAAATGGGCAAGAGCACATTCATCAATAATTCCTCACTAAAACAGCACTGTTCCCCCACCAGCTAAATCAACATTTCATTCCACCTTTGGGGCCCTACCCCAGTAATTAAAAACTGATCCGGCAACGGACTCTAGAAGAAGAAGCAGGAGGCACAAATTCCACGTTAAAGGAGCTTCCGGGGCCCAGGGACACCTCTGCCTCCAAGCACCACTGACAATTTTGGCTTAAAAGCCACTTGCTCGGCCCACGGGCACAGGCTTCCTAAAAAACTGCCGGCTCCGACGTTCTCCCGGAAAACCCAAGAAGTACTCGATACTCAGAGGTCGAGCGGGGCCCGAGGACCTGCAGCCCGACTCCCTTCCGGCGTTCTCCAGCTAGGCTGAGGTCCATTGCCTGCGACCTCTCCCGCCCCGCCGCTTGCCAGTGCCCCCTCACACTAGCCAGCAGTATCCCCCATGCAGGCTGCCTACTAAACTAACTACTTCTCCCCAACCCGCCGTCTAAGTTCACGCTACCCTTCTTCGCAAACCCCTCCCCCCGAAGTTCGCGCACCGGGCGGCAGCCATTAAGGCCACGCTGGGAGCTGCAGCTAGACCAAGTCAGAGCCAGCAATCTAATGCCATCCGGTCCCTGCGACGCACGAGACGGGCCCTAGGCTGGCGTGCGAGCGAGAAAAGGGAACCTCTGTGCATTTAGAGTCCCGAGATCGAAGCATCCACTCACCATCCTAAGGAACAGAGACCTGCGTCCGCGGCTCAACAGAGACCTGCAGGCCCAGCAGCGCTAGGGGGGGAAAAAAGGGCCACAGCCCTTGCGCAGGCGCAGTATGTAACGCCGACTGTCACGTAAGTGACGTGTGGAAGAGAGAGTGTGTCCGCCACAAGACGTTTTGTGTTCCGCCCCCTGCTGGCAGGAGGGTCAATACCTGTCTGCCTTGTCACAAGCTCTCAAGGTTCCAACGCTCTGGGCACAGGATTGCCTAGGATCCGGGCCGTGAAGAGGAGCCGAGAGGATTACTGGAGCCTTTCACTTTCTTTGCTATTGCGTTTTTTGTTGTTGTTGTTTTCATAACAAACATATTTTACTTTTCTAAGCAGGAAAAAAAATAAAGTTAAATAGGACAAGTTTGCTTGGGAGTCCTCTTGCCCTCTCTGGGCTGTTCGTCCAAGAGCATAGGGGACCCACCCTCCCACCTCACACCCAAGGAGCCTTCCCTGAGAGCCCCAAGCTTTGTATCAGCTTCAGCCTACCATAGACTGTCAACTTTCTGAGGGTGGGCCCTGATGTCAGGTCCACCTCTGCCTCTCCAGCACCTAGCAGAGTATCAGCTTCTCACCGTCCGAACTGGGAGAAGGGACTGCCAACCAGGATGACAGGGTTAAATGACTCCAAAACACTGCCTCTAGAATAAATCAGAATTATGATGCCAATTACCTTTGATTCCAACTTGTAATTCCTTGTATAATAGAAAAAATAAACACAGTCCACTACGGCAGATGTCAACAGAGCTCTAGAAAAGAAAACTTAAAACACTTCTCACAGGAAGTGTGATTCTATTTTTGCAGAGCTGCCTTTAAAAGTGTAAAGAATTGGGCCGGGCGCGGTGGCTCAAGCCTGTAATCCCAGCACTTTGGGAGGCCGAGGCGGGTGGATCACGAGGTCAAGAGATCGAGACCATCCTGGTCAACACGGTGAAACCCCGTCTCTACTAAAAATACAAAAAATTAGCTGGGCATGGTGGTGCGTGCCTGTAATCCCAGCTACTCAGGAGGCTGAGGCAGGAGAATTGCCTGAACCCAGGAGGCGGAGGTTGCGGTGAGCCGAGATCGCACCATTGCACTCCAGCCTGGGTAACAAGAGCGAAACTCCGTCTCAAAATAAATAAATAAATAAATAAATAAAAATAAAAATAAATAAAAGTGTAAAGAAAGAGGTATTCAATTCGTATTTGCAAAAAATATTTAAAAACCTTCATTTTGGTGGATTATCAAGTTATTAGCCTACCAAAGGTACTACATATCTTGGTCAAGCCCTGCTTACATTGGAGGCAGAAGTATCAGGAAGGAAAGTCTGCCTGGAAACAGGCCTACTCCTAACTTTTGCATGTTTTAGGGCAAGGGTTCATAGGAAGACCCACATACGATTCATCTGAATATTTAGAAGTCATGAAGCAAGCTGGATGTGGTGGGTCATGCCTGTAATCCCAGCACTTTGGGAGGCCAAGGCAGAAAGATCACTTAAACCTAGGAGTTCGGGACCAGCCTGGGAAACAGTGAGACCCTGTCTCTATAAAAAATAAAATCCAAAAAAATAAGTTATGAAACAAATAACATGTTAAATTAAATATATTTTATCTTCCTTATCCTCCTCCTTCTTACCTTATAAATCCATAACGGCAAAATAAAAAATATGTATACCCATTTCCCTTGATCACCACCAGGGGTTTGTGGCCAGCATGGCTGGCTCAGCCAGTGCAGTTGGTGACACCAGGAGCTAGGGGGTAATTGTCCGGCACCCTCAGCCAACAGCACCTTATTCAAGTGGTAAAAGTTAAAAATCACTAATAGTGGGATGAATTAACATTATAGTTTCACACCTGTAATCCCAACATTTTGGGAGGCTGAGCCAGAAGGATCACTTCAGCCCAGGAGTTCGAGACCAGCCTGGTCAAAAAAGAAGATCCCCGTCTCTACAAAATAAAAAAAAGGAAAGAAAAAATAAATTCAAAGTACATGCCTCCTGAGGCACTGAGAAAAATATAAAAGCATTTCCTACATAATCTAATCTAAAATAGTTATCTAATATGTACCAACCAAATCTAATCATGATAAAACTACACATAAACCCAGATTTCGATAATTCTACAAAGTAACTGGCCTGTACTCTTCAAAAATGACAAGATCATGAAAGATAAGGAAAACCTAAACAATATTCCAGACTGAAAGAGACCAAAGTGACATGACAACTTTATGCAGTGTGTGATTCCATATTGCATCCTGGACAAGAAAGGAAAAAGGGAAATAAGAAGGCTTTGTATTTATTTTGTTCAAAGTATATTGTCAGAACAATCAGTGAAATTTGACTGGAGTCTGGATTAGGTGATAGTAATGAATCAGTGTTAAATTCTGATTTTCATAGGTAGACTGGTTATAAATGAGAGCCCCTTTTTTTTCAGGTAATACACACTGAACTGTTTTGGAGTAGCAGGCATCATTTCTGCAACTTAGACTCAGTAAATGGCTTAGGAAAAAAATAATGTGTGTATATACACATACATATATGTGCATCTAAAGAGAGATTAATAAGGCAAAAATGTGTTAAAATGGTGACAGTGAAGAACTTGGGAGAAGGGTATATGGCAATTCTTTGTACGGTTCTTATCCAATCAATGGTTTTGAAATTATTTCAAAATAAAAAATAAAACATTGGCTGGGCGCCGTGGCTCACGCTTGTCATCCCAGGACTTTGGGAGGCCTAACCAGGTGGATCACTTGCAGCCAGGAGTTCGAGACCAGCCTGGACAATGTGATGACTCCCCATCTCTAAAAAAAATACAAAAATTTTAGCTGGGTGTGGTGGTACGTGCCTGTGTTCCCAGCTACTTGGGAGACTGAGGCGGGAGGATCACATGAGCCCAGGAGGCAGAGGTTACAGTGAGTCATGATCTTACTGCACTACAGCCTGGGTGACAGAGCAAGACCCTGTCTCAAAAAACCAAAAAACAAAAAACCTAAACATTGATTCCTGCTAGAATGGAAGCTATTTATTACTTATTATTCCTGCTAGAATATGGCTTTTATTATTTGAAATGAACGTGAACTCAGTTTCATCAAATATGTCAAACATACATTATGAATAGAAAATAAATCAGCAGCTGTCTCTGCTCTCTACCATGTGAGGACACAGGGAGGTGTCAGCAGTCTGCAGCCTGGAAGAGCCCTTCACCAGAACTGAACCATGCAGGCACCCTGATCTCAGACTTACAGGTTCCTGGAACTGGTGAGAAATAAATGTCTGTTTATAAGTTTTTTAAAAAAATCAGCAATTTTTAGTTCTGGCAGTGATGACTTATTTGATGTTTTAATACAAATATGTGAAAAGATTTCTAAGATATTAACTATATAGTATGATTTTGAGGTGCCTACATACTGCCCTAATTAGCTGGTTATGTATTAAAACCAGCAACTTTCTTAATTATGATCAAAGAACAAATTTTTTGTTTTTTAAGACTGAGTCTTGCACCATCACCTGGGCTGAAGTACAATGGTGAGATCTCAGCTCATTGCAGCCTCTGCCGCCCCAGGTTCAAGTGATTCTCCTGCTTCAACCTCCTGAGTAGCTAGGATTACAGGTGCCCACCACCATGCCTGGCTAATTTTTTGTATCTTTAGTAGAGGCGGGTTTCAGTATGTTTGCCAGGCTGGTCTTGAACTCCTGACCTTGTGATCCACCCCCCTTGGCCCCCCAAAGTGCTAGGATTACAGGCATGAGCCACCGTGCCTGGCTGATCAAAGAACAACTTAATACAAAATTTCAGTTAGGAAGAATAAGTCCAAGAGATCCATTGTATGATATGATGACCATAGTTAATAACACTGTACTGTATTCTTGAAAATTGCTAAGAAAGATTTTAAGTGTTAAAATCTTATCACTTAATAGATTTTAAGTGTTCTCATCACAATAAAATAAGTATGTGAGATAATGGGTATATTAATTACCTCTATTTAGCCATATAACAGTTTACATATATTTCACAACATTTTGTACACAATAAATGTATCTAATATTTGTCAGTCATGATATTTTTAAAATATCATGTTATTTACAAAATTTTTTTGTAATTGGCTTTTGCTTTACATGAGAGTGTATAGGGCCAACTACTTTACAGTTGACTCTTTTTTATAGATCTTAATCTAGTGGAAAATATTTGAAACTTTCTGATACAGGGTCTTACTCTATTGCCTGGGCTGGAGTGCAGTGGCACGATCCTGGCTCACTGCAGCCTTGAACTACTGGACTCAAGGAATCCTCCCACCTCAGCCTCCTGAGCAGCTAGAACTATGGGCACTTGCCACCAAACCTCACCAATTTTTTGTTTTAAGAGACAGTCTTGCTATGTTGCCCAGGCTGGTCTGAAACTCCTGGCCTCAAACGATTCTCCTATCTCAGCTTCCCAAAGCACTGGGATTAAGATGTGAGTCACCTTGCCCAGCTGAAACATTTTTGCTTATTTTAAGACAGGGTCTTACTGTCTCCCAGGCTGTAGTACAGTGGCTTAATCAGAGCTCACTGCAGCCTCGAACTCCTGGCTGTTTGCAAATGATTCCCCCCTACCTAAGCCTCTGGAGTAGCTAGGACCACAGGCACATACCACCATGCCCAGCTAATTTAAAAAATTTTTGTTGCAACAGAATGTTGCCATGTTGCCCAGGATGGTCTCAAACTCTGGGCTCAAGTGATCCTCGAGCCTTGGCCACTCAAATTGCTGGGATTACAGGTGTGAGCCCCTTCACCCCACTGAAACATTTTAAAAACTGCACTTTTACCTAGGGAAAATTAGCCAAAGAAAGAGTAAATTTTGTTTCTTTTTTTAAAAAATGTGTAAATCTATGGTTTTTAATGGGACTGAAAGTCAGCAGAATATCAATGACAATTATGATTATGTCTGGGTGTTCTGCTGATAGGCTATTGATATTTGGATGACTAATAAAGACATATACTATTTGTAAATTATAATATATGTATTCATAGAATTCCTTTTTGTGTCTTCATTTCAGGCAAGTTTCTATGTTGCTATC